TCCTAGGGTTCGGTTCACGTGCACCAAGTGCACGGACGTGTGGTCAGCGAGAGGAAAATCCCCATCTTCTTCCCCGGCGTGCTCCCGCCGGTGGTGAGCTCATCGGCGAGCCCCTCCAGTGGCGTGGGTGTGCAATTAAGGTGGGCAAAAGCTTGGCCTTGCCATAGCAGGTGCCCCGGTGAAGTTAACGTGGTGGCCGGGCGGCTCCAGTTGGCTGGCCGTGGTGGCGGCGGTCCTCGTACACCGGCGAGAGGCGGTGTGGTGGCTGTGGCGGCGGTACCGGAGATTGGTGGTGCGCACGAGCTCCCCAGCGCTGCTACGGCCACGGCGAGCAGGTCGAAGGGGCTCCGGGAGCTCTCAACGCCTCCGACCACGGTGGTGGGGGCAAAGCGGAGGCGATGGCGCTCCGACGAGGTGCGGTGCGGCAACGCAGGGCTCCGGTGGGCTTCATCCTCGGCTAAGGTGAGCGTGGTGTGTCTCTCGTCATGGCGGAGCCAGTCGGGGTGTCAACGTCGCCTTTACCGCGACGTAGAAGACGCGGTGGTCTCGCCATGGTTGTGCTCTCGGCCATGGCGTGCAGGGTGGTCGTGCCGGTGTTCCCGAGCCGCTAGGGGTCGGTGAGGCCAGGCATTGGGCTTGTGCGCGTGCGGTGCGTGTGCAGCGTGTCTAGGAGCGGGAATGCTCCGCCTCTGTGTTCCCCAGGTGTGGAAACGCGGTGGCGTTCATGGCGAGTACGGCTAGCGCGGTGAGCGGCGAACGACGTGGCTCACCGTAGGTTTCGTGGCGGTAGGATGGCGGTGCGGTGGCAAGGCGAGGCCGTGATGAGGCGATCTTGATGCCGTCGTCGAAAGCAACTACGTCATTAGTGGCTGATCGGGCGGCGCTCCCGGCTCCGGCGAGGTCCGCTCTGGCAAGCTTCTTCCTCCTCCTTGCTTCTTCCTCCTCCCTCTCTCTCGGCTTGACGTGGTGTGGTCTTTGTGTCACCAGCGGTGGCGGCGCGAACGGGCGAGGAGGTTAGGGCTCATGGGCGTTGGCTTTTATAGCCGAGCTCAAGGGCTCAATGGCGAGACAGCGATCGGACGGTGGTGATGCGTCTGGCGGCGCTCTCCGACGGCCCAGCGTCTTGATAGCGTAAGCGCGGGCGCAAGGGGGAACAGGGTCATGCTTCTTGCGTGACACCCTTGTCCACCTTGCCATTACCGGTCGGCCCTCGGTCGGCGTGGTGGAGGAGCGTGGGGAAAGACGACGACGCAGCGATGGCTGAGGCGGTGGTGACGAGGGGGCCCGTTTGTCGACTTGTCTGATCTTGGGCGTCTTGATCTTGTGACGGTGACGGTGAGTCCGGCTCGTCGGCCAGACTTGTGTCTTGCACGGGCGGTAGGGTGTTGCTTTGGTCAAGCCGTGGGCACGTCGCTGAGTGGGAGGCCCGAAGTGCTGCTGCTCCCTCCTTTTCCTTTTCTTTTTCTGTTTGTTTCTCTTTTCTTTCTTTTGCTTCGATTCAAATTTAGTTAGAGTTTAAACTTGAGCTTCGAGTTATGTAGTGGGTCCCATAAGGTGTTTCAAATGGTGGTCAAAATACATCCCATATATTAGGGATCATTGGCTATTTTTGTTATACAAAAATAGTTGAAGTTTTTATATAGGGGTATTTTATTCTTCCAACAAATAATTCATTATTTAGGGTTTATCATAAATATTAAGTAAGTTAGTTAAATATCACATTACACAAAAGAATCCAAATCACAAGTGGAATTAAGGATGCATGTATGATTTATTTATTTAGGAATTTAATTACACATGTGGCATAACACCAAACTATGCTTTATGATTTTTAACCTAGTTGGGTCACATCTAATCCAAAACTAGAGTTTGGCTTCTACATGTGTTACTCAACATCACATAGGGTTTAAAAAAAATTTGTAGTTGTGATTTTTGGTGTGAGGATTTTTGAATCGTTACATATACCTTAAATGATAAGTGGCCGAAAGGTGGGAAAAAACGTGGCCGAAAGGTGGGAAAAAACACACACACAGCAGACACATGGAACTGAATCGCGTTCGAGATCGTCCAGGACCACCTGTTTGTTGAACCGTGTGCCATCCATTTAGGGCGTGTTTAGTTCCGAAAATTTTTAGTTTTTGGTTACTGCAGTACTTTTGTTTGTATTTGGTAAAAATTATCTAATTATGGACTATTTAGGTTTAAAAGATTCGTCTCATGATTTCTCGGCTAACTGTGTGATTAGTTTTTTTCGTCTATATTTAGTACTTCATACATGTGTCGCAAGATTCGATATGACGGGTACTGTGCAAAAAATTTTGGATTTTGGAGACATCTAAACGGAGCCTAGGGACGGGGATAGAACAGGAGCAAAGCGTGATGGCTACGGATAGAGTACGATCGATACGAACTGTAAGCGGAATCCTAGCTAGAGCACTTTTGGAACCGGGACTTTGTTTAGATACCATCCAAATTTCAATTTTTTTCGCTCTTTCTCTATTACATCAATTTTTAGCCGTTTATATGGAGTATTAAATGTAGGTAAAAAAAATAACTAATTACACAGTTTAGTTGAAAATCATGAGATCTTTTAAGCCTAGTTGGTCCACGATTGGACAATATTTACCAAATAAAACGAAAGTGATACTATTCATCAGGTTGAAAAAAGTTGGAATCTAAACGAGGCCCCGGTAGAGGATGAGATTTCCTGCGCCAATTCGAGGGATTCAGTCTCTCTCATCTCACACGGTGCAGCAAAGCAGCAATGACGTCCTCAGTTATTTACTACTGCTGCTAGATTGCTTTGCTCTTAATTGGCGTTTACTACTCGACGTCGAAATCCAGCGTTCGGTTCGGCGGCCGGCCGGCCGGGACCGAAAGCTGGCCCGACACCTTCCGCCGTCGCGATCCGCCGAGCCAAGCCAAGTGGTGGCACGGCCGCGCTGCGTTTTGCCCGCGCACGCACGGCATGGCACAGCCAACGCGGAGCCCACTCCGCTTATCTCATCACTGGTGCTCGCTCCAACCACCTACAACCACCCGTGTCCTGTGCCGCTGGCTGTGCGCGCCGCACAACGCCCGCGTCGGCGTCGCGCGCGCGCCCTTGTCTCCCTCCCCGGGCGACCGATGGAGATCACTCGGCAGCACCCGTTGGTAGCAGCGACGCGCGCATGAGCCCACCGCACTAGACGCGTGCCGCGTGCGCTAGCTACTATCCCACTGGCCGGCTGGCCGCACTTGTGCGATCTAGCTAGAACGCAAACAAGATGATGTGCAATCTAGCATAGCAAGCTCCCTTGGACAGGAACGAAAACAAAAACTTGTCGGATGGTGAGGCCTACATGTCGGATCGGAGTACCCAGGTAGCCCCGCCTGATGAAAATGAAAAGAACGCAGACGCAGCAAATGATTCCTGAGAACGGAGAGAATATATAAAGGAGGCGCTTTGCCCTTTAACAAGACAGCAGCTCAGCTCGCTGTTACGTGTGTGGGCTGGCTTTGCCTCGCGCCAGCGGCCGCTGCTGTGGCGCTCCGATGGATGCTCGTCGCGATCACTCCGCGCGCACCCGTATACACAGTGGGGCCGATGCCCGATGGACATTGGGCGTGACAACTGACAAGGAGACGAAGCCGAACGCAAGCTAATCTGACGACGACGGAGGAGATAACTGACGAAGCCAAAGCCTTTGGCCTTGGCTCTGGAAGTCTTTTGGAAGAGGATGGCGGGTAGCAGTTGGTGAGGGAGCCGGGGGGAGAATTATTTGATTCCCGATCGACTCATCTGCCGCTGTCCCCTCGACATCTCATCTGACGACGACGTACGGAGGGAGATAACTGGCCGGCGAGCGTATCTTTTGTTTCGTAACAGTTAACATAGGACGACAACAGGACCTGATTCGGTACCACACAGCTAGGATAAGTTCAGAAAATCAGAATTCAGATCGTATTCTAAACCATGGTTGCTTCAATTTATTTATGGAACGAAAAAAGGAACCAGTCAGCATTCAGTAACCAACCCACAGATAAAAGTGGCCAAGTGGGAAAATGGCGTGCTATGCAATCGGATAGCAATAGCAAACCAGATTCTCTTGCTCATTGTAGTACTGATACGTAGTGGATAATATGATCAAAGAGAGAGTGTCACTTTTACATGCACATAAACGGGAACCGTTAGATTCGACTAATGCTTAGCTTTGAAAATGCATAACTAAGGTCCGGTTATTAGCTAGCCTGGGTCTGGGTTCGTCCTCGTCCAGTTCTAGCTCCGGCACTATAAACCCCTATAGGCTAGTATAGCGGAGCCAGAGGGAGCCTTACAAACTCTCACTTCCACCGTGCAACGATATTAGAAGTCAGTGTGGACGGAGCTCTAGGAAAAAAAAATCGTGGAGATCACTGACATCATCGATATCTCACTGTGACGTATTCATTGATTGCTTCGGGGAATTAACATGATGTATGTATACTAAGGAAACTTCAAGTTATCTACGGAGTAATACCTACGACACCAACCCCGTATTGCATTACGCGACACATTAAAATCAACTTTTTTTTGCGAATATATTAAAATCAACTGTCACTGCCTCTGACGCAAACCAAAAGCTACCAATACATGCTATCTTATCTAAACCGAATTCTGTGGAACACTAATTTTAAAATAGACACATTTTAGAGAAACATGAAGTTGAATAAACAAGCCAAAAGAACACTGATTCTGGATTTAAGTTAAGTATGTGAACAAATGAGTACTAGCAGTACACACTCTATTTTACCTCTTCTCCTTTTTTTTGTCTTTTTTTTCACAGCAATCTCCATTGTTGATGTTCTGCTGTTTTTTATACTAAAAAAAATCCTATTTTATCCAAGCCGACAATTTAGAGAAAACACGCAGATCTACTTCCGCCGTAACTGTAGAAAAACAGTGGACAGTATAGGCAGTATTATGCACAGAAAAGCAAGCAAGATCGGACCGTACGGATCGAGGGCATGGAGAAATGGCGTTAGAACGGGTGATAGCTTCGGCGCAACCCACTGACGTTGGCGAACAGCCCGACGAGTTCTTGCTTGTACGGCAGATACGAACGCCTCCGGCTGCCGCTGCCGCCGCCGCCTCTGCCGTAATATCTCAATTGATGGGCCACGCTGCCCGCGTCGCCGCCGCCTTTGCTGATGCCGCCGCCTCCTTCCTCCTCTTCCTTGATACTACGACGAGGCGGCTCCGGAACGGCGGTGAGGAAGACGAACTTCTCCTTGCCGTCGCTGTGGCTGCGGCCGACGAGGCGGTCGCTGATGCGGCGCCAGCGGAGGACGGAGCCCGTGGAGCCGCTCTTCCGGCACCGGCGCGGGGACGCGGGCGCCGACGACTGCCCGCCGCCGCCGGGCGCCCACAGGCAGTAGCTCTCCGGCGGCACGCCCTCCAGGTCCTCGTCCCCGGCGCCGCCGCCGCCGCCGGAGGCGTCGTCGTCCTCCTCCCGCCACGCCCGCCGCGCACTCGCCGATCGCCCGTCCTGCTCCCGCGCGCGGAACTCCCGCTCCTCCAGCAGGAGCCGGCCCAGCGGCACCCGCACGGTGGCCGTCCCCGGCTCCTCCACCACCACCACCACCTCCCCCCCGCGGCGGCAGGGACGGCGGCCGGCCGAAGATCGGGTACACGGGCACGATGCACGAGTCGGCGGCCACCGGCAGGACGGGGAAGCTGAACTCGTCGCCGTCGTCTGCTTCGTCCTCAGCCTCGGCCTCCACGGATGGCGACAGAGGCTCCGGCTCCGGAAGGTTCTCGGCGGGACCTGCCTGGCCGGTGTCCTCCATGACTCTCCCGCGGCTTCCAAGATTTTTTTTGCAGCCTCGGCTGGATTGGCTGCGGTTTTCTGATTTCTTTTTTGTGTGTTGTCAGGATAGTGGCGGCGCGAACAGAAAAGGGCGGTGTCGCGGGGTGGGATGAGAGGCGCGGCGCGGGGGTACCGAGTACCGACTGAGCACGCAGATAAGCAATGGGGAGCTTTCCGTGACGCTGGCCGGTGGGCCGCGTCACGCAATTGGGACCACGGCTCAGTGGGAAACAGTGAGGATCGTTGCGGGGTGGCGGTGGGCTGAGCCGCGAGTCCGCGACGGTGTCGTCTCGTTGGAGGCCAGAGGCGCGGGACGCGGGACACGCGCCGTGCTGGAGCCAGGGGAATGAGGCGCGTAGCGGTGGCGGCGGTTCTAGAAGGCCGGGAGGGAACGCGAATGGGATGGGGCCAGCACGCGAGATGGACGGGTTGGCCTTTCGCGGAAGAGAAGAGAACAGAACAGAACCGAAGCGAGACCCCGCGATCGGGCTGAGAGTGAGAGGGTCCGTCCGCCTGTTCTTCTGGTGGTTCATGGAACGCGGATGTGGCTTACCTAACCGCGGCGGAAGAAGGGGATCAGGGGGTTGAGTTGGGCTCGTTGGATCGCCTCGCCTGCACCGCACACCGCGCACGGCTTGCGCGCGCGGGCAGGCTATGGATTTGGTGGGTTTTGGTGACCCAAGTCCGATCTTTCCTTGGCCCTTGTCCCCCCAAACCCAGGCCGTCGTTTGCAGGGTTGTTGGCCCGTGCCGTCAGCTTCGTGCTCTTGGAAAGCGACTCGTGGTAGCCTCTAGTAGGTGTGACAGATTCTCTAGGCTGGGGGAGAATGAAACGCTAGTAGGATAGGATGGGAGCAGTACGTGAACAGTTGTGTGCGGCCACACCAAATGGCTAGGGACCAAGCTGTGCAGTCCTGCTCCTGCGCAGCAACAAACGAGCCCGCCTAGACGAAAGTAGTGTTCCATACTTCCATTATTAGCCCACATAATATTTAATAAATTAAATAAAATATTATGATACGTAATATTAAGCGTGGTATGATTTAATACCGTATAAAATTTTTACTGAACGTTTACTTAGCTTATTTGGTTGGAAATTATCCATCTTAATTAAAAAGCTGAGAAAAGTACAAAGAAGTGCCACGCGCGCGCCACCGCCGCCGCCGGCCGAGCTGAGGCCGTAGAGAGGCAGGCGGCGAGTGGACGGGTGTGGCCAGTCTTTTGCCAATTAATCCATATAATTACGGGAGTTTCTCTCCTTTATGGTGGAGGCGAGTTGATTGCGCCTGTTACCGTCTCTTCGTGTCTCCGTCTCCTGGGTTCCTCCGCTGGCTTTCTCCCTCCCCGCCGCAGGCATAAATCAAAAGTCCTCCGTCAGTCCAATGCTTCTGCTTCGCTTCCGAGAGACCACATCTCAGCCGCCCTTTGGGTTCCCCCGTCCCATACCTCTACGCGCACAGAGTAGCGGGAGAGCAGGTGCCACCGGAACCCTCGTCCGCCTACGAACCTTGCACGGGGTATGCGGCGATTAGGTTTTTGGGGAGCGATTCCGCGACTGCTCGTCCGACGTCTTCTTTCTGGTGATCGCTCGCTGAACCTGTCTTCTTTCTGGTGATCGATCGCGGAACCCGTCTTCTTCCTGGTGACCATTCGTGGGGCTGCACTGCGAACATCTTTCTGCATCGACTGTGGTCCACGACTTCGAGCAACGCACTATGTCGACTAGTGCGAATGGAGCCTCCGATGCCCTTGGCATGGGACCCTCCGCTGGGTACAATCTTAACTCTGTGATTACCGCACTTTACGTTCTTACTGTATTGATCTGTATGTCATACTTGCATGTTGTAGCGTTTGTTAGTGATATACACATGCACATATATGTCGTCACAAATTGCTGATGTTTTATTTCTGGATTAAATTGACCATGAAAATGCCTAATTATCTAACAATCCAAAAACTTAATGTTAGATAATTTTCTGTCAGTGGTTTTGTTGCTGCTTTGAAGCCAAATAATTTTGATGCCATGAATTTCACGATATGGCGTGTCAAGATGGTATTGTGGTTGACTGCTATGAACTGTTATCACGCCGCACAGGAGAAGCCTGAACAATTTACTCCTGAGGAGGAGCAAAAGTTCTTGGCTACCGATAACCTGTTTCGAGACGCCATGATTAGTGCACTTCATAGTAAGTATGAGAAAAACTACATATCTTGCACATCAGGCAAGGAGTTATGGGATGCTCTTGAGGCAAAGTTTGGAGTTTCTGATGCTGGTAGTGAGCTGTACCTTATGGAGCAGCTGTATGACTACAAAATGGTTAAAAACCGTTCTGTAGTGAAACAGGCTCATGAGATACAGGCGCTAGCAAAAGAACTAGAACATTTTCCATGTCTGTTACCCGATAAGTTTGTGGCCGGCAGTATAATCGCTAAGCTGCCACCTTCTTGGAGGAATTTTGCTACTTCTCTAAAACACAAGAGACAAGAGTTTAGCGTGGCTGAGCTTATTGGATCTCTTGATGTTGAGGAGAGGGTGAGAGCAAAAGACAACCGTGGAAAAGGAGTTGAGTCTTCCGCTGTCAATATGGTGCAGAAGAAAAACTCAACAACAATACAAAGCCTAAACAAACTACACAGTTTAAGAAGTAAAACAACAAGATAGGTGGAGGTTGCTTTGTTTGCGGAACTGATGAGCATTGCGCAAGTGCGTGCCCAGACCGCAAATATAAGTAAGAAAAGAAATAAGCAAACGTGGTGATTAGCGAGACTGGAGGAGGAACATCTGGGTATGGTAATTCTTTATCTTTTGTTCTTTCAGTTTGTGTAACAACCCGGGTTTTTGGAGAAGCCAAAAATACGAACTTTTTAAAAAATCTCCTGCAATATGTGAAGCATGTAGATGCTAGGTCAAACAAAGAACAATTTATAAATAAATTGTTGCATACATATAGTGATGCATGTAGGAGCTTGCCAGAGTTCCTTATTTGGTTTAGGGTTTTGTGTTGGAGAGCACAAGTCCGTAGCGAATCCTTTTGACTCATTCTGGAATCTCTCACGAACCCTTGACCTAATTTCTATAATCAACCAACTATCTTCATCAACTCAATGCCCGTGAGTTGCCAACCCGTGACATGGACCCCACTACCCCTAGTTGACCTTTAGTGGACCCCACCAGGAGGTGTACATGTTGGCGACGCATGTATACAATACACGAGCCTTGAATTATTTAGAAAATAGGAAATAGAAATAGAAGAGAAAGGAAATGGTAGGGGGAAAAAGAAATGGCCAAAACAGCCCAAAGGCGCCCAGTGATCTCACCACCTCTCCCCACTCGGCCGTGGCCCACCGCCTGCCCACTTGACCCGCTCGCCCTTCTCTACCTCGGCCCAGCTCGCCACTCCTCCTTCAGCCCGGCTCATGTCATGGCCTACTTGGCCCAACCGGCTGTGACAACCCGGCTGCCCTCTCTCTCCTTCTTGGCCCCACCCACAGGCGCCTTGGCCTAACTAGGCACCCTTAATGTGAAAGGTCCTAATGGCTAGAGGGGGGTGAATAGCTTAATAAAATTCTACAACAACACTTAACAAAATGTGTTAGACAATTTTGCGGCGAAGCGAGTGTTGCGCTAGCCTACTAAAATGCAAGCCACCTACCTCAATTCTATTTTGAATAGTGTATGTCCACACAATAGCTATGACACTTAGCTAAATTAGTGTGCTCTCAAAGACTAACTAAAGAGCAACACTAATCAAACAAACAAGCTCTCACAAATAGCTACACTAAAGAGCTTGATAAATAGTTTTGATGTAATGTAAGAGTGAGCAAGAGAGTTATACCACCGTGTGTAGTGGTAGGAACCAATCAATCACAATAATGAATACCAATGTAGACCAATCACCTCGAGTCAAATGATGAACACAATGATTTTTACCGAGGTTCACTTGCTTGCTTGAGCAAGCTAGTCCTCGTTAATGGCGATTCACTCACTTGGAGGTTCACGCTACCGATTGGCATCACTCGCCAAACCCTCAATAGGGTGCCGCACAACCAACACAAGATGAGGATCACACAAGCCACAAGCAATTTACTAGAGTACCTTTTGGCGCTCCGCCGGGAAAAGGTCAAGAACCCCTCACAATCACCACGATCGGAGTCGGAGACAATCACCTCCTCCACTCAACGATCCTTACTGCTCCAAGCCGTCTAGGTGGCGGCAACCACCAAGAGTAACAAGCGAAATCCGTAGCGAAACACAATCACCAAGTGCCTCTAGATGCAACCACTCAAGCAATGCACTTGGATTCTCTCCCAATCTCACAAAGATGTTTAATCTATGATGGAAATGAGTGGGAGAGCTTTGGCTAGGCTCACAAGGTTGCTATGTCAATGAAAATGTGCAAGAGAGCTCCTTGAGCCGCCATGGGGCTATAAATAGAGCCCCAATCAAATAGAAACGTTATACCCCTTCATTTGGGCAAAATGCGCTCGACCGGACGCTGCCCCCGGCGTCCGTCCGGTCGCCGATGGACATACACGCGTCACCACTTCAAACGCTGTTCGTCGATTTCAACAATTGCAAAGTTGACCGGACGCTTCCGAAAAAACGGACGCTGAAGCCCCAGCGTCCGGTCGTTTCCAGTAAGCTCCCCGAGGCATGTTTTTTCGACCGGACGTGTCCGGTCCACCTTGACCGGACGCAGCCAGAGTCCGGTGCTCAACCCTAACCATCATGTCTTGTCGATACTCGACCGGACGCACCTTTCAAATATCCGGTCATTGAGTGACTCCAGCGTCCGGTCGATGAGACCGGCGCCAACATCATTTCGATCAACTCTATTTCAACTCTTACTTCTTCACCCTTGCTCAAGTGTGCCAACCATCAAGAATTTTGCATCCGGCGCAATAGAAAATAGACATTTCATTTTCCCAAAAGCGCCGTGGTAGCATATTTACACAAATATTATCAAGGGTGTTAGCACTC